TGGAATTAATTTAATAGGCGGTCGACGCTATTTTGGACACTTATAAGCCCTAATTGAAAATCTGCACAAAAAACGGAACGAGCACACATTTTAATCGAAGAATGCACCGTCGCGCAGCATTGCGCGACATCGACCCATGAGACAGACTGGCTGTCGCGCACCATTGCGCGACATTGTCGTCAACGTGTTGATATAGTGGTAAGTGGTTCTTCAAACCTTTGGTCTCGACGGCAAAGTCTTCACAAAGTCGTTGTATTTCCTGCAAGGTCCACTGGATAGGGTATGTCAATCCACAGCGAATATTAAATGTGAAAGGACAATCGCTGACTGTGGACACTACTAAATTCGCCTGAAAATTGTAAAGTTCCTGTTGTTCTAATACCGTGATATCCAACTGTTTTAGAGTAGCGCATTGTCGGGTACAACCGACGATGGCAGCCGATGAAGTAAAACAGACGTCAGAGCAACAAATGCGTACACTGCAATTCAATGACAAGGTGTCACGTCTTAACAGAGAGTTTATTAGACAGCTACAGGAATGGTATAAGCAGTGCGCCCACTATGATTTCGTAAGATTTGCCACAGTTTTTTCTTTTCAGTCTCTTGTTATTTTATGTTTTCCTAAGCTTCGAAAGGGTTAATTGAATGTTAGGTAAATTTTCTGAATAACCAGCTTTCTTCAGCGACTTCCTGTCACTCATAAAATTACATAGTCTTCATGACTTTCTGGCGGAATACTGGCTTGTGAAGCTCAGATGAAAGTTTGAAGAAAGCCGTGACGATTCTTCTGAGAGCTTCTGCTTTTTAGAACCTGATTCGTGAAATTGTACCTTAGGTTTTTATCCTAACATTAGGTGATTAATTTAGTCGAATTCTGTCAAGTCCTATCTGGAGCATATCAAGCGGCTGGATGAAATGTATTCTGGAAAACCTACTCCAAATAGTACCACAACAGTAGGGACACCTACAGCATCAACAGGGCGAGTTATTGCTAAGGTACGCGGTCACTCCATCATTTCTCCCTTCTTCTCAGCAACCAACTGCTACTCTAGCTAGGGCATATGAAGTTACCGACTGCCATTAGGTTTTTTCTCTGGTTTTGAGGCTGTGGTGAAAATGTAGTTGGGGGAGAGGGGGCAGCGGCCTTTCGAATCATGGAAGGCTAGAGGGCAGAGAAGAATTGGTAACCAACCTCACTTTTGCTCAGACATGTTTTTCAGCCAGAATAGGGTTATTTCCTATCTGAAGATAAGGAGCTCCGGGGTGGCTGAGATGATTATGGGTGAGATGATTCTCGCCCTCCTCAACTCATTTTCAGAGACAGTTTCCAAAACTAGACATAAAAACAGCTAAAATATTTTACTATTTCGGTCTATTTGTTGTAATAAAGACGCATTCGACAGGCTAAGCGTCGAATTGAGGGAACCACTCCTCGTAATGAACTAAATAATTCGGTGAAAGTTTCGACGCCTTCCGGTGCTCCGCCACGTTTGAGTCTTGGGTGCGTTGTCGTGATTTTGGTATCTCAGAGATTCTGATAAAACTGCTGTAATTTGAATTTTTCAGCGATGTCTCAGTTATCAAACCGAATTTGGACGCCACACTGACTGTTCCAACACCTAAGGTGCGATTACATAACATTACAGTTCTTTTACATGATAACGCCCAATGTTCTAGGCTTCCGAGTCTTCTGCAGCCAGTGAGCATGCCAGCGGTAGTGGCGGTGGCGGTCGAAAGCGTGCGATTCGTGGAGGAGGTCCTGCTGGAGGAGCTGAGACTGTCGTGTTCCGTGGCACTGAAATATCTAGTATGCGCAAAATTCCGTTCAGTTTTCAATTTGGAAGCTTTGTCAACACTCTTGAAAATATATGAGACGGATTCTCTGATCCTGCACTAACACTAGTTTGAGAGAGCACGTTCACGGCACACG